ATGGAGCGATAAATTCACCGGCGTTGGTGTTATTTGGTAAAGGATCGAAAAGAAAATCAATGGTATGGCCTACCGCCCCCCCCCCCAGAACTCTGAACTCAACCCAAACCCCACCCTCCCAGCTGAATAACCCTTTAATTGAGAATGATTAGCAGGAGCAGGCCAGGCCATTAGCGCCTCACACGGACGTGAAACTCGCCTCCAAGCTGCGGCTTTAAGAGGCTCATTTTTCTGCTGCTCAGCTGACAGACGATGAAACTCAGTACAGACACACAGGGACTCCGCATTTCTGGCTCCATCTTTGAATCGCCGGCTTCCCTGGCCCCTCTGTGCGCTCCCCGCTCCTGCTCCCCCCACCATGAACTCCTGTCTCCCTCCCTCAGGGACGACTCCATATGCTTCCATCCACCCGGTCCTCCAATACCCTCACATCCTACCCAAAAACTCCCCGGAAGACGATTAATGTTTCACGACCGTCTCGCCGGCCGTCGTCCCCGTTGATGGCCTGGAGATAGCACATTTCCAACTGGCTCCAGAATGATTAATATTTACTGCTGGGGGCGCTCTGGAACATTCTTCCTGACACTCATGTCTCAATGACGTGACTTCGCCCCCCTCCCAGTCTCACCAATGGTGCCATCTACTCGGCTGTGGCAAGGTTGCCCCGCCCCAGGCACCCGTCCTGCAAACAGCCCCACCTCCACGTGACACACGTGTTATGGGCTGCTGTTCACGCCTGAGAGCGGTGCGTGTCATCATTGTCATGTGAAGTGGCCCCCAGTCCCGCCCCCTCACAGCATTACCATGGGCCCCCACGAGGCTTTCCTTGCCTCCAGAGGTTTAAAAAAACAGCGCGGATACAACACAGAAATACGCATCACAGGTGGGACATTCCCATACATTTCAAAACAGTGCAGCATGTTTAACGGAACACCCCCCTTCCAATAAGTGCCTATCAACCGATTATGCCCAGTGTATCAGAGGAAGGCCAAAGGAGGGGTGAATTATTTGAATTACCCCAGCACTGACTGTCATCACCTGGTCAGTCGAGAGAGCCTGTCTCCAAAATATAGTAAACACAGAGCACTGCTGCCACCTAGTGGACAGAAGTGTTACCTGCGGGAGTGATTTCTGAATCTGCTCAACCCCGACAATTCAGATGAATGACGGACAAAGTCCAGCAGGATAAAGTCCACGCGAGGGATGGACTTAATCTCGCACATAATTTCAGCCACTGCATCATACCAGCAGGCAGGTACTTACTCAGAAAACCACATGCGTCTAAGACGAGGAGAAGGGGCTGCTTCAGTCCTGGTATGAGGAACCTAAACTGTAACTAGTACAAGCATCCATATAGCTGCATTTTCCTCATAAGAAATTTACATTTATAGCATTTAGCAGATGCTCTCATCCAGAGTGACTTCCATTTTTCTAAATTCAGGAAGAGTTGGGGTTAAGGGTCTTGCTCAGGGACCCAATGATGGTGCCAGAGGGGTCTGTCTCTGTAGTGCCAGAGGTGGGACTCAAACCTGTGATATCGTGGTCCAGAGGCAAGCGTCCTAACCACTAGATCACCACCATCCTGTGTTTACAAACAAGAGGAGGCCATTTGGCCCATCAAGCTAATTTGGGGAGAACTTAACTAATAGCTGAGTTGTTAAAATTTTATCTAGCTCTGATTTAAAGGAACCCAGGGTTTTAGATTGCGCTTCACTAGCAGGAAGACTATTCCATACTCTAACTATACGCTGTGTAAAGAAGTGCTTCCTCAAATTCATTTTCAAATGTTCTCCCGCTAATTTCCACAAGTTCTAGTTCTAGTGGATCATATCCCCCCTTAGTCTCCTTTGCTCGAGGCTAAACAGATTCAGCTCAGCTAACCTCTCCTCATAACACATTCCTCCAAAGCCAGGAATCATTCTCCTAACCCTACGTTGCACCCTTTCCAAGGCAGCAATGTCCTTCTTAAGGTATGGTGACCAAACCTGCACACAATATTCTAGGTGGGGTCTTACCAAGGAATTATACAATCATAGCATCACCTCTCTTGACTTAAACTTCACAAACCTAGAGATGTAACCCAACATCCTATTGGCCTTTTTTTATTGCTTCCCCACACTGGTGAGAGTGAGACATGGAAGCATCAACATACACACTGAGATCTTTCTCATAGTCAGCTACCTTTATTTCAGTGGAACCCATAAAATATCTGTACTTTATATTTCTGCTCCCTGCATGGATTACTTTACATTTATCTATGTTAAATGTCACCTGCCAGGTATCAGCCCAGTCGCTAATTAAATCAAGATCCCATTGTAGCCTCTATGCTGCTAGATCAGTATCTGCTACACTACCCACCTTGGTGTCATCTGCAAATTTAACCAGTTTATTGTATGTACTGGTGTCAATATCATTAATGTAAATTAGGAACAGTAGTGGTCCTAAAATTGAACCCTGCAGTACCCCACTCTGACCGCAGGCCCTGCTGCTTTGAGCTTAAACAAGAGCCATTTGTGGGGGATAACATTAAAGGCCTTCTGGAATTCTAAGTAGATCACACCATAGGCCTTTTTGTGATCAATTTCTCTTGTAGATTCCTCAAAGAACTCAAGTAAATTAGTTAAACAGGACCTATCTCTCCTAAATCCATGTTGGCTATCCCTCAGAATGTTATCTGAATCCAGGTAATCTGCCATTTTCACTTGGAATATAGCTTTCCATTACATTTCCATTTATGCAAGTTAAACTGATTGGCCTATAGGTTTGCTGGATTACATCAATCCCCTTTTTTGAATATGGGCATTATATTAGCATGCTTCCAATCAGAAGGTACCACACCAGCAGATAATTTCTGGAATAGTAAAGGTTGGCTAATAATATCCCTAGTCTCTTTCAAAACTATAGGTAAGATGCCATCAGGGCCCTGCAATTTATTTATTTTCAGCTTAGTTAGGCTTTGTAGCACATCAGCCTCCGTTATACATATATTAGTCATAGACTACGCTGTATTTGTACTAAATGGTGGTAAGTTACTTGTGTTCTCTACTGTGAACACCCGTGTAAAATAATCATTAAACTCATTTACTATATCAATTTATAAGGCCCTTGCTATCCTGCATATTAGTGATTTCAGCATTTAGAGCTCTTTTGGAGTTAAAATATTGGAAGAAACTTTTAATGTCATCCTTAGCCTCGAATGCAGTCTTCCTTTCTACATTCCTCTTGTTATTTTTTTAACTCAACCTGTAGACTTAGATATTCCTGCTTTATTCTGAAATCATTAGTTATTGTCCCCAGGCAATTACAAGCAAGCCTGAAATGCAGAAGAAAATCACACACTAATGGCAGTTTGTGCTACGTCTCTGCAGCTACAGGGCTGGATGAAACAGCCCAGGAGGCTGAAGGATGCCTGGTACAGACAATGAAACACATATGAAGGTCCTGAGCTTCTTTATCTGAAGCAGTGGAAAATATTTACACAGCTGGATCTCCTATTGAAGGGATTGAGGTTAAGATCTTCACCAGAGAGTACAACAGCATTCAAACCGGCAACTCAAAAAGTTGAGTCCACACTCTCAGCCGTCATGTGACCTGTTTCCAGAAACAAGCAAATGAGGAAATTTCTATACATGTCCAATGCATACATTTTCATCTTCTCCCTCTGTGCGGAGGCAGGAAATTCAATAATCAGGAGTCCTGAAGCAGTGAAGTGTTTTTCTAAAGATTGGATTTGATTTCGCAGTCATGCAATGATACTGAATCACAAACACAGTCCTAAGTACCCAGAGAAGCATGATGCACATATAGCCTGCAGAGACAGGAGGGGGGGAGGGGGCAATAACTTCAGATCTGAGAAGCACAGCATTGACACAAACACATGAAGGCCCCTGGCGCCACCCCCCCCCCCCCCTCAACACTACCAGACCCATGACAGCAGGAACCTCACCACACCTGACTCAGATGCCGCAGAGATGCCTCAGGATTAAGGGGATCCAGTTTGCGATTCACTTTGGCAATTTGAAACGCGTCTTGCACACTGCAGAAAATGACTTTTTCTCCCAATCAATATCAGCTCTCAGTGCTGGAGAAGATCATAGCAGGGGCTGTCAGCAGAACCGGGCAACACGGAAGACTTTGGGATGCCGATAAGAAGCTTCCCTGGTGACAGTATCGACGGGCAGCCTTCGCGTCCGGCAAGGTCGGCTGTTCAGACCCATCCTGAGAGGCCACCAGCCACAGGGGGCAGCTGAACGGTCACCACAGGGAGGGGGCAGGTGGAAGAGGGTAGTACAGCTGTGTATGGGTGAGGTATATATAACATTGTGGGGACCAAATATCCACACAATATGGTAAAATCTGTTACCTTTTAGCTTGTAGGGACATTTTTCAGGTACCCACAGTATAAACTTCAATCTTATAAAATATGTGAATGCAATCAAAAAACTAAAAATGTCTAAAATCACGTTTTTGTGTTTGGTTACTTATGGTTAAGGTTAGGGCTGGGTAGGGGTTAAGGTCGTCTTGTTGGGATTAGAGTTTTTTCCCATAGAAGTGAATGGAGAGTCCCCACAAAGAAATAATTACAAGCCTGTGTGTGTGTGTGTGTGCGTGTGTTTTTGGCTGCTCCAATCCATCTGCATGCTGTCACTGCATCCCCACGGTCCAGCCGTATCACCTGGTCACCCGCATCGATTTCACCTTACAGCGCTATTTCTGTGCACCACCATCAGCCTCTGGCACAGAGACCTGGATCGATGCCCCCTTAAGGTCCGATCTGGCATCCAGGGGGAAGACAAATCGGACGAGCAGCCAGTCATTCAGAAAGTACCGCTTGCAGCATTCATGTGGAGCCTAATTGCAATGTATTCATTTTAAATGTGTGTTAGAAGTACAGAGAGATATTCCATCTGGGCTGTTTTCCTCTCACAACAGAGGAACAGGACAGACATCTGCTTGATTTTAGCAGACAAACAGTATTCAGACTGCAACACAAACCATCCTAAATCTATTGGAAAACCTTTAATGCATTCAGGTGGGGGTGGGGGGGTATTACATCCCAAAATCAGTCTTTTGATAGACACTAGTAAGTGGTACACATAATTATTCATGAACTGCACAGTCTGCTATTTGTAAAGATATATTGGACAATTTCAATTAAACCCTTGTGTTCTGAAGGAAACATACAGGTTGGATTACCGTAAAGGAACAGGCTGAAACTGAACCGCAAATTGAGCTTTTGTTAAATGAAACCATTTGTAAAAAACAATTAAATAAAATTACATAACTAAGATTGCATAAATGGAGATGAATTACAAAAAAATCCACATTCACTCGATGTCTGTCTGATTATCTTATTTGTTCTGGATTATCAAAATTCATTAGTATCTCCGATACACTTAAAATTCAGACATTTCTGGACCTCCTTAACAAAATACTTCTTAATAATCATAATGATAATCTTTTAATGGAAGAGGGGAACCCCAGTTAACTTCTCTGTACTGACGTTCCCACATAATCCATACAGTCGGAGCCGAGATGGAGATCGCATCTATTCATAAAGCAAGGTGCTCAGCAAACGAACCTTGCAGAACTCCATTTAAAAGCGCACCGTCACCCAAACACAGAGCTCTATCCATCTTCGGGCGTCTCTTAAAACTTTCTGGACATGTGAGGTCATCGAGAAAAATCGCACTGACGGGTTATAGCAAATCTTTAAATCCTTTATTAAAAATGACAGAAGTCGAGCGGCTCAAATTAAACGTAATGCTCTATTAACTCACCAAAATGGCTGATTAAAGCCGTCAGAAGCGGGCAGCCCCTGGGGGAATGACCTGGAGGTCCCGCCCCACGATTCTGTCTGGCAGAAGCTCACATCGCCATTACCAAGGTCACAAAGAAGAGCCCCAAGGAGATGGAAGGCCTCAAAGAAGGACTTCCAGAGAGCCTGTCACCATAGCGATCCAGCAGCTGCAGAGCCACGCCATTGGTCCATCCAAAACCCAGCTGCAGGAGACCGAGAGGGAGGTAAGGACCTCCACAGAACCACAGCAGCACACGGAACGGGAATGGAATGAACCTTCACCTTACTAACAGGTGCGACCAGACAGTGATAAAATAACAAAGCGTACCACTCTTAATCAGGGACCACAGAGAGTCGTAGTGTATGTTACCCAACCCGGTCCACGGGGACCCCCAAACACTCCACATTTTTGCTCCCTCCCCAGCTCCTGGTAAGGAGCAAAAACGTGGAGTGTCTCAGAGTCCCTGATGATCGGGTTGGGAAACACTGGCATACTGTAGTGAGAAATGGAGCAGAAGCAGCACCTACCTGGACCTCGTACTCTCCTCCACCTCCTGGCTGGCCATCTCCATCGATGTTGTACTAGAGGACACATTTACAAGCAGCTGTTCAGCCAAACAAACCTACCACAATGCAGGTGGCAGTGATACAGGGTCACTACCTTTATCAAAGGTACAAAAAGCCCTCCTAGGAAAAGGCAGCTGTCAGGCCATGACCTCAATCACTGTGCCCCCTGCTGTCCAGAGAGAAACCAAACACGCACACATGGCAGAAATATCATCTAACCCCCCGCCCCCACTCACCTTCTCAAACATGGCGTCATACTTCTTGTACACCACCCAGTTAGTCTTTATCCATCTCTGTGCCAGATCAAATGCCAAATCCTGAGCCTTGGATATGTTCATGTTTGACAGCCCTGACATAACAGAAAGGGAGAAAAAGAAAGATGGGAATGGGGAGGAGAGCCGACCACATCAGCCCCGCCGGACTGCCCGAGCACCACCAGCATGCAGGGGTCACACGGCTTAAAGCCCTACCCTCAATGAGCATGTGCTGTAGCGGGGGCCAAGCGTTAGGAAGGTCCCATTGCTGCCCGCTGTCCACCAGGGACGTCGGAACGCCGTTTGGGAAGAGAAGTGCACCGCTCTCCTGGTGAGACGGGGAGAAGAGGACAGGAAATGACAGGGGACCCTGCTGGAATGGAGGAAGAGCTCCCCCTGGCTGCCAGGTGGCAGAATGGCCAGCTGTCCTCTACGAACCATCACAAGAGGAATGAAACCAGCAGAGTGCATAGTCATTTATTAGGAGTTATCAGGGGCCAAAAGTCAGGAGTGACTGAGTCAGATAATGCGGCGACAGCAGCGAAGCAGGCAGATCAGGGGGGAGTGAATGCAGCCGTCAGAGACAACGGCACACCAACCTCCAAATACCGGAGCGCCGCCTCCGCCATGTCGGGCCTGGAGTAGCACCGAGCCCAGAGGGGGGCCAGGCCGCTGGGGTAGAACGCAGGCCGGCGGGTGCCGCTCGGCAGCTCGTAGTCAAACCAGCAGCCCCTCTGCGGGTCCCACAGCAGCGTCTCCATGGCCCCCAGGCGACGCTCTCGGGCCTTGTCGTATTTGCCCGCCGATGCCCCATCGCCTGTGCCGAGCGGCAATGTTACACACTTGCCCCTCCCCTCCCAACTCCGCCCCCCACAGTCCCCGCCCCCTCCAGCCCATACCACCCCTCACCCACAGCCCGGTGGAAGTTGGCCAGGAGCCCCTCGACGCGGCACAGCACGGAGTTCAGGTCCACGGGGATGATGCGGCTGGTGCCGATGTCCCTCAAGGAGGCCTGTCCGGGGCCAGCCAGGTACCAGCGGGACGAGAAGTCCCAGCCCGACTCAGCACCCGAGTTCAGCTCCATGTACAGCTGCTGCTGTGCATCTACGTGTGGAGGAGATGCAGAAGATGGGGGCAGACACACACACACACACACACACACACACACGCACATGTAGGGTAAACATATCCTTATGGGAACCGCTCATTCATTTCAATGGGAAAAATGCTAACGCTAACTATGACAACCTTAACCCCCACCCTGCCCTAACCAGTAACCAAACAAAATACAAGAGTTTTTGCATTTTTAGTTTTTTCATAGCAGTGACCGATTTTTATAAAATAGAGTTTTCCCTTATGGGGACCAGGAAACCGGCCCCCATAAGGGAAAAAAAAACATTTATCACGTTATGGGGACATTGTGTCCCCATAAGGATAGGTATACCCGCTCACTCACACACACACACACACACACACACACACACACACACGGGTACAGGTTGCAGACACACACACAGCTACAGGTAGAGGCTCATCCTTGGTTCACTTTGGTTCCTACTGGAACACAATTCAGGACCTTTACAATCATTAACAGCTGAGGGATTTTGCCCTCCCCCTTAATCACATTCAGATATTAATGCTTTACCTGCAGATAAGCCTTTGGCCAGATCTGCGTCATCTGAGTAGGACTCTGGCCTGTAGGAGAGAGATCTCCATCACTTTTAACACACAGAGCGTGCAGAGAGTGTTTCAGAAGGGGGGGGGTGGCGGTGCTTTGTACCTCGGCTGGCCCACCGGCACAGCGTAACGATTCAGGATGTTCAGGTGTCCTTCTGTAGCCACGTCGAGAGACCGGTTACTCATCCAGAACTCATACTCGCGCTCCAGAACTGGCAGAGCGTTCCTAAGTGGATGGACACCCCAATTACCATCAGGCGGTGGCCTTGGCTGAGGTGTCCCACGCACCCGGCGCCGCGGTCGACGTACCTCAGCAGTTCCTCATCGCCCGTGGCCTGATAGTAGCTCTCTACCATGAGCGCGAGGAAGGGTGGCTGGCTGCGTCGCTCATAGTACCGACGGCTACCGTTAGGGACGAAGCCATACCTGATGGAGAAGAGAGGAAGCTACCCTGTTCCAGGTACGGGACCTCACACATTATCCAGAAACAGTTTGTGGGACAAGCAGGAGGAATGAAGTTCAGAAAAATAGATCTGCCAAGAGGTGCTTGGTGGTCTTACCGATCAACCAGGTACAGAAAGTTCTGGATCATCCCTTTAGCCGTGTCCTGCATCTCAGAGAGAAGCAGCCCGTTGATAACCCAGTAGGAGTCCCTGGGACACACGGTCTCATGTGAAGGTTTCATGACTGAGGATGGTGGGGGGGGGGGGACAGGCAGTTTGGGGCACTACTCACCAGTAGTATATTTCTCGGAAGCGCCCCCCAGGCACGATGAAGGGGTGGGGAGTGTAGATCAGGGAGTACAGCTCGGGGCGGTCCCTCACGTCCAAACGGATCTGCCCGCACACAGAGAGAAGAGAGAGCTCGCCCACCTCCAGCACAAAGCCCATCCATCAGAACCAGGAGGGGTGTTTAAGCAGAAGCTGAGGGATTACCATGGTAACAGTGAAGTAATACCAGACCCGTGGACAGATATGGCCTGTGGTGAGAGGGCCAGGTCAGTACGGGGGCAGCAGACCCTGTAGAGTAAGGAGTGTCTCACCTTCCGGCCCAGAGACTTCCACAGTTGGTGCAGCTTCCCTGCCCAGCTGCGCAGCTCTGCGTCCGCTATCTTAGAGAGGAACTGCGGCCTGCAAAGCAGGAAGAACCCAAGCGAAGAGCTCCGGCGTCAACATGGAATGGCCACCCCCAGGGTCCCATCCGCTCTATGAGGCTCAGTTGTAGGTCGGCCAGCTGAGAGTCCAGTCATCAGTGGCGTTACCAGTATGCCATGCTGGGGTGGACACCAGTGTTCGAACTGCGTCAAAGTTAGCTAAGGGCATAACTTTGGGTTGAGCATTTGGGGGTCCAGGGGGTTGTATTGGCTGGTTTCGATTATTGGAGGGGTTACATATCACCATTCCCCCCGATAATTTATGTCCCAGGTCCATAGCTACACTTCTGCCAGTCAGCTTCAGTTACAGCATAATGCCAGAAAACAACAGCTCAGATGACAATTTTATATATGAGAACTTGGGACGATACAAACTAATCACCCTAATCAAACTTTCAGTCACATGGAGGTAGATCGCCATGCCAGTTATCTGTGGACAGCTTGATACTTACCCGTCATGCCAGTCAGTCGGAGTCCATGGTTCGAACTCCTGCCCCGGAGGCTCAAAGTACTCCATAATAAAATCCCGCAGAACGGCGGGGTGAACAGAGCCACCCGGCGACACGGACGTCAGATTGCGGAAGGCATCCAGAACCTCACCTGGAGGAGACGGCAGAAATGCAGCTGCAGGACGCGCCCCAGCAGAGCGGAGCCCTCAGGAGCCCCGGCAAACCTACCAGGATCCTTCTGCAGCTTCATGTCCACAAAGTGCTTGTCATCGTCAAACAGTCTGGTCATTTGCACCTGCTTTAGGATTTCACCCGTGCAGTATATCTCACTAGATAGATAGAGAAATCTCTAGAAAGCGGTTTTTAAAAAAACACCCACAGAAACATATGGAAACAAATCCGTAAATTTGGAAAACAATAATTTATTCTACATATCAATAGGCTTATATTAGGACTTATTTCTACCATTTATGCCTGCCAAAGATTTGATTGATTTGTTTTTATGGAATAGTTTCGTTCTCCCTAACGTTTACCTAAGAAATGTATATACAAATGGGTGATGCCTGTCCCACTTTTATCGTTTTTCAGCACTTTTACGAGATTTTTTGCAACTATAGGACCTTCATAAACAATCGTTTTCGTATTACCTTGTGTTTCTCCGAATACATGTCGCAAAATAGTTAACAGATTTGATGCAAAACTTTTGCACCAGTATCCCCTGTATACTTCACATAAATGATACAACTCGTGCTCGGTTGGTTCAGAAAAGGGAGGAGCGAATAACGCAAAATGAAAAAATAACAGCAGCGCAGTTTCGGGTTATTTAACGTATTGGAAGTGCAAAGCATGTGATGTCTACCTTAATTGTTACTAGCTTATTATGATTATATATTTATAGATGCATTACTACAACCCCTGTTAACCCTAACCCGCTATACACAAGTTCTGGAATTTGCTACCATTACGTATATTTCTTTAAAATTTCTTTAATCAAAACAGAACCATGGGAGCACTGACGGCCGCGCCAAACCCCACCTGTCACAGGAGCCGTAAAAATCACAGCCGACCGCAGGTATGAATAGGAATAAGCAGCTCCAGAGTAGCGCCATGACATCCGACCCCACGCATGCAGAGAAGCACAGCAGGAACGGGCAGAGGTCCTTTTTATAGCCAGGAAATCATGGCGAGAGCCTCCAAGCTCCACCCACCAGCTATCATGGCCCCCGCCATCCAGGCCGGACCTAGCCGAACGCATGAGCCGACAAAAACTCATTTCCACATTTGTATCTGTTTAAAAACTAAACCCTGATTTCTGCCCAGTCAGACCATGCCGATGGCTGTTTTCATGCACTGCTTCCTCACTGCTGAAACCGGCCGGGGAGAAGAGTCTTGCAGCTAGATTCGGAGCGGCTCCATGGCGGAGGCCTCAGAACCTACCGTGGATGTTCCAGCAGCAGTACATCACTCAGTCATCTAAAGCAGATCTGTGGTTTGTAATTATCAAAAGCTGCAGTACTGCATGTAACCCAGGGTCCAGCCACTGCCTGTAAACAGGGTTTTCTTGTAATGAACAGACAATGATTGTTACTGATGGTTGTGCTCGAGTTGGCCATGCAGAATCCAAGACCTCCTTGGATGTGCGGCGCTGATGTTTCCTTCAGGGTTCTGAGAGCAGGAAGGTCATCCCACTGTTCACAAGCACCAGGCAGTACTTTGTGCAGCTATCAAAATAACAGCAGCAGACAGAATTTCAGTGAGCTTTTATTTTCTTTCAAAACACAAAACTTCCATCCAGTCACTTCAGATGAACCAAATACCACTTTGTCCACAGTACTACTTTGAAGCATCACTGACAAAAATAGCCAATTCAAAAGAAAGAAAGCGAATCTCAAAACGAAACTGGTCACATTTTTCCCCCATGTTAACTTGGGTCCAAATTAAGAAATGTTAACGGGCAAAAATTTACTAATTTAGGTTTCATACCTTCCTTAAGATTGAAGGAACTGACTCAAGGGAGGGGAAAAATTAAAGTAACATCCTCCAGAAACCGGATTCCTAGCATCCTCCTCCCCACAAAACAAAAGCCAACCCCAAAATGAAACCAGTGCCTCTATACCAGGAGCTCCCTTGATGACCAGACAGACCGCAGCCATGGGACTCACCCTCACCTCACTCCAGAGGAGCATCCTGGTATAGCAGCACAGAGGCAGCGTGTTCCCAACCCCAAAATGAAACCAGTGCCTCTATACCAGGAGCTCCCTTGATGACCAGACAGACTGCAGCCATGGGACTCACCATCACCTCACTCCAGAGGAGCGTCCTGGTATAGCAGCACAGAGGCAGCGTGTTCCCAACCCCAAAAAAATCCTTTAGAAGAACGAGATGATCAGTGGGTGAAGCCTGATGTCCAGCACAAGCCAATTTTAAGACTGATCAAGGTAAGATGCTCCTCACCTCATTCTTCAAAAAGGAACCCCCCCCCCCCCACCAACGGCATGTCAGAGCAACCCACCCGAGCACAGGGGAAGCCGAATGGCACGAAGTGACACCAGTTTCTCCATTACACAGAGGGCTGCTCATCCCACCCGTGTGGCTTAAAACAGTCAGGCAGCTGCCAGAGTACCTGCAATTTAACCCAGTTCCCCCAAGACTAAGGAACACAACACTCCAGTATAAGCCCCCCCCACCCAAAATGTGTCATTCCAATAGGAGTGTTTACATGTACCTGGACCAAGAGACAAGGAGGAACAGGGTCAGGTTTGTCCACCGAGGGGCACCGTTGCATTTCCCCCCATGGCAATACCCCCCCCTCCCCTCATTTTAGTCTCACTGAATGATATCCAACACACCAGCCCCAGGGGTTAGAAGATGCATGGAGGAAATCTCCCAGCATGCCTCAGTGAACAAACCAGACAGAAGGAGCATCTCACATGTACATCAACATGGGGACTCCCTGCAAAGCCAAAAGCAGCCATTTAGGCACTACAGAAGTGGGTAAACAGACACTGGCGCAGGGAGCAGTTACATAATTTCCAGAACGACCCCCCCCCCACCCCACCCCATTTGAAATCCATTCCAAGCTTAATGGCAGCAGAGATATCAAGGGCCATGAAAACCACACCGTGTTCACACCAATTACTACCATTATCCTAC